AGAAAGAAAGAAAGAAAGAAAGAAAGAAAGAAAGAAAGAAAGAAAGATTGATTCAAGAATGAGCTGATCCTTCTTATGATATTGGTGATATATTTCCCCTAAAAAATGTTAGATGAAGGTAATGCCCAGATGAATTCTTTGCAAAAAAAAAGATTGAATTTTATATGTAAACTATAAATATTTTAACAGGTAAAACTGAACTTCTTGGCATTGTATTTTGTTCTAGATGAGGGGTGTCAAACTCGCGGTCCATGGGCTGGATGCGTCAGGCGTGTCCACGCCCATGCCCAGTTTAGCAAAGGGGAAAAAAGTTGTGATATGTCACATGACAAGGCCGTGACAACTTGAGTTCTAGATGGTAGATACCGTATCTGCACACAAATCCAGAAGTACAATACATACTTTAATTTCATTGAACTGACTCAAGTAGTTGTCCATGGTCCTGATTGCTTGGTCTGCCAGTTTTTCCTCATAATCTTCCCATAGGAGATCATTGCTCTGTAAGGAAAGAGAGGCACTTTTCAAAATGCTGTTGAAATAACCCACATGCAGTTATTCTTTTCCCTCAGGAAGACCTGGAAGTTTACAGGGTCACTCTAAAAATAAAAGTATAGATCTTTTATACAGAATAAACTGGGAATAAATAAGAGGAATTGGTTTAGTTTCTTCCTGCACATCATTTTATTCCATTGGGGTTTTTTTGTATTGAGCAGCAGGACAAATGGTATTAAAAGGAAGAGAAAAAAAATAGTGTCATTTAGAACTGAAATATGGGATATATGCCCTACATCAGGGGTCCCCAACCACCGGGCCGCGGACCGGTACCGGTCCGTGGAACATTTCCTACCGGGCCGCCGATTTGCTGGGCGCCGCCATCTTGTTTGACAAGAAAGTGCTTCCGGGTGAGCTTTTCCGGTTGGAAAGCGGCGTTTGGGTCCTGAAGGAATCCTCGCACCTTAGTTTCATCGGGGGGGGGGGGCTTCGAATGAAACTAAGGCACGAGGATTCTTTCAGACCCAAGGCAAGGCGAGCCGAGCGGCCGTCCAAAGCGAAGCCCATTGACAAAGGTACAAAGGAGGAGTTGAAGGTGGCGGGGAGAAGTGGGGGATGGCTGGCTGGCCGGTCGCTCGGCTCGCCTTGCCTTGTCATGCGTGCTGATGCCGGTACCGGGCCGCGGATCATTTTGTGATGCCGGTACCAGGCCGTGGCACAAAAAAGGTTGGGGACCACTGCCCTACATATTTGCAAGGATATTCTGGCATATTGGAAAATTAAGAATTCTGAGAGCTGGTTTCTTGTAATAGTTACAGCTAGGAATTAGTGAGAAGTCTAATGTTTCAATTTAAAAAGTCAGCCCTGATACCTGGAATATATCATAATTACCTGAACTATGGCCTTCAATTCTTCATATCCATTCCATTCATCACAGTAAATTTCTTGCAATGTTTCAGATACTTTCTTGGAACTTTCATGCATTCCTAGAAAAGTCAAAATAAATGATAACAAAAGTCACTATTAATCTAAGTCAGCTTGTTCTACTGATCAGTGGCTGTATTTGCATATTACAGTAAGCCATGTTTTAACCAAGGTTTGCTAAATACCCACAACTGAATAGGTTCACTTCACCCACTATGTTAAATTACAAACAACAGTTTACAAATTGGACTGTTCGGGTTCATACAAGATACTAACTAAATTTTAAAAAAGGCTTTCTTATGGTATAACATGATATGTGAACTGGGAAAATGAGGAGAAATGTTCATTAATGAGCCTGGTTTAAAATCAAGTTGCTGGAATGTCAACTCTTTGGTGAAGTTTGTGATTACATGATGAATTTAATCTCCCTATTAGATGTGATTAAAATGTGAAAACTGCATTCTGAGGCAACAGGTACAGCTTCCTAACTTCCTAAACTTCCCATCCTGTATTTGTGAAGAGAGCTAATTGGCAGATAAACGTACATAAATTGGAATTAAAAGGGTTTTCTCATCCTCATTAGTGGCAGACCACATGAAATCAAATCAGTAATGAACCTTCTTGGGTCATTTCCTTACAGGGATTTTGTGTAAGAATTAAGGGTCAAAGTGACATATATGCTGCCAAGAAGCCCCTTGATGGAAGGCCTGGATTTTTAATGGTCTTAACAAGGGCTCAGAGATAAGAAGCAACATTTTATTTGTTTTCTTTACAGGTAGTGTCTCATCCAATACCTGCTGACTTAACTTGGAAAACATGCCATTCTAGAATTTGGGCTTTCTGTACCTTTCACAGCAATGAGGAAAGCCTTCAGTTCTTTGTAGAGTTTTTGCCCTTCGATCTGAGGGGAAAGAAAGGGAAATTGTACTTCTAGCATATTTCTGCATGTCATTCTTATCAGAATACTGTTCTTGGACTTGGGTCATTGCCAAGTCTGTAAACTTCAACTCCCAGAATTATCCATTCAGCATGGACAATGCTGAAAATTCTAGGAAGCTGCCAAATTTGGGCAAGATTGCATTCAAGTTTTTATAGGTCTCCCCCCGCACCCAGTGTTCTTACAATCCAGGAACTTACAGAGACAAGGTCTGTGCATATGTAAGAGGTATGTTTTACTGTATTACCATAAACTTAGCATCCCACATATTTATAGATAAAGCATGATCAGAATCTTTCATAGCAGCTTAGTTTCAGGTTGAGCTTGTATAAAAACATTTTGAGAGTCTTAAACAAAACCCAGTGTAGAGATATTTTGGATTCTGGAATGCCAAAAATGCTAGCTAAATCTGACCTAAGCTTGTATATCCACCACCACCAAATTTCCAGAAAGCAAGTTGCTCCCACAGTTCCCTCATACAACCTGCTGCTGCTGGAAATTATAAGCACTTTGTTCAAATTGTTCATCTTTTGTTTCCACGGTTTTCCCCAGTTTCTGCAGAACCTATGGAAGAGACAGAGAAAGAAAAGAGAACTGAAGCAGTTATTGTCCATCTTGTCCTTCACCTGTCCAGTGAGTTCCCCACCACAGACTTATTTTAGAGACATGCATCTATGGAATGAATGGTGCCTTTGTTTCCATTAGTGGCACTGCATTGAAAGAACAGTGCCAAATTCTGCTTCTAGCAAAGAGCCCTCAATCATTAGTCTTTCCATGAGAAAGGGTGGAATAATACTTGCTGTCCCATATCTCTCTGTATTCAGGCAGATAAACATATATGGATTCTCCAGTAACTTGAAATCCAATAGAAATCCTACTTAGGCATCCAGATTTTCCATGTCATATGCGGGAGATGGCAGAGTCTCTTTCTTAAGGGTGCTAAATTTGAGCTGAGAAACTCCAGCTGACCAGGAGAGGGCAGCAAAGAGACAAAGAAGCTGCCAACTCTTTGTCACCAGAGTTGGCAGCTTCTACAGTACATCTAGACTCATGATGGCGAACCTATGGCACGCGTGCCACAGGTGGCACGCAGAGCCATTTGTGCCGGCACGCGAGCTACAGGCAAACTTACTTCCCTGCACATGTGTGTGCCTCACAGCTGATTTTCAGTGGGTTTGAGGCCTTTTTCGGCCTCCCAAAGGCTTGAGGAAGGCTTCTGCAGGCTTCGCAGGCCAAAAACTAGCCCTGTTTCGTCACTTCTTGTTTTTCTGAAAATACCGGAAGTGACGAAACTGGGCTAGTTTTTGGCCTGCAAAACCTCCAGAAGCCTTCCTCAAGCCTTTGGGAGGACGAAAAAGGCCTCAAACCAGCTGAAAATCAGCTGTGAGGCGCAGTGCAAGTAAGGAGGCAGTGGGGTGGGTGGGTGGGGATTGGGTGAGCATGCGTAGGGGGCATGGGGGATGCATATTGCCTCCTGGGTGCTGGCATATGAGCGTGAACATGCAAGCGCGTGCACAATTTTTGGCACAGGAGCCCAAAAAGGTTAGCCACCACTGATCTAAATGCTTTTAGAAGTCATTTGCAGCCCACTCTACTCTTTGCATGCATTTATTTTCCATGCGAAACAGTCCCTCCCCCATTACAGAAGTGTGATGAAGTTTGCTAGAATAACCACATGATGCCCATCTGTCAGTTCCCATGATTAGCCTAGATGACTTCAGCACTCTTCCCTTTTTAGATATTTGTACCACATGGAGGATATGATAAGAAGCATGGAATGAATAGGCACAGCCTTGCCTTTTCTTGGTTGGTCCATGCAACTTTCCTTATATTGTATTCAAATTACTAACCAAAAATGAGATAAGCACATTTAAAAAAAAAAAAAGTAAAATGAACTGATCCTTGATGTCAAATATATGGCTAGGACTATAAAATCCAATGCGTGTAATCTCAGGTATATTTAACTGGGATATTATCATTTAGCAATAATATAATAATATCCCAGGTTTTTTTTTTAAAGCATAACCTTTGTTTACATAGAAGGGGAGCACTAACAGATAATCGCTAGATGAAAATACAAAGAATTTCTGTAACTTTACGTGGCTATCTTTTAGTCATCTGGATTTTTGCAGACCGGATCTGATAACCTTAAAATAGACACTATCTTGACATACAAATAAGAAACTACAAGCGTCTCTCTGTATCAAATGATTCCATACCATTGTGGTTTCTACATGCAGTTGCAGACTTCAGAGGCAACAGCTGTACTATTGTTTACAAAAAGATTTCCCTCTAGAAGTTTGGGGATTATAATTACCCACAATTTCCAGGAGTGACAAAAGGCACTAGCCTGGGAGAGGTTGTTTGTATGATTGCAGTTCCTGAAATTAAACTCTTCTGAGACATTGGGGTCAGAGGAGGTATTCAGCAGGTTCTGACCAGTTCTGGAGAACCAGCAGCAGAAATTTTGAGTAGTTTGGAGAACCTGCAAAGACCACCTCTGACTGGAGATTTTACAGTATCCTTCCCCTGCCACGCCCACCAAAGCCACGCCCACAGAACTGGTAGTAAAAAAATTGGAATCCCACCACTGATTGGGGTCCTTTGGTTGGACCATACATTCTTCCAGAATCTTTCAAAAAGGACTAGGCTGAGAGGTAAAGGAAACATGACTGAGCATAAGATTTGCTTACAGAAGATTCCAGTTTCAATATCTGGCACCTCTGGGGCAGACAAATATAAACTTTACTGGCATAATTCAGCATTCCATCATTTTAAGTAACCCTAGTATTTTGGCTAAATTCAGTCCTGGGGTGAAATTTCATGCAATCACTCATCCAGTCCTACTCAGCATAAACTACTTTGAATCAGAAGACCAAGGCAAATCTCTGTATCCTCCTTGGAGTTTTACTGTTCTGCCTCGATGGACTTCTTCAGGCCACTTTCATTTTTAATGCAAGAGATAAATGGTCCTTTGGTAAAACTGTAGTCACTGACAAAGCGAAAGGCATCAGGAGAAGTGGTTCGATTTGGAAAAGCCACGCAGCTCCGGAGCAACTAGCATTTAGAGCATTTAATGTTGAAAGTGGTTTCCAGTTCCCATTTCTTGTTGCACAAGAAGAGTTCAGTGAGCAAACTTCATGAGACATTTCAGAGTGATAGGACTCTGGTCTCCAAAACAAGGTTTGGTCCATCCAGTGGAGAAACAATATCAGAACAGTAAACAGAAAATATTCTCTTCAGTCAGAGCTTTTATTTTGCAGAACACCATTATAGTTCAATGGCTAAATGGTTTTATGTGTCCCACTCCAACAAGTTTTGGCCTGCTGCCTATAATATAGTCACATATCCAGAAAAATATACTCCATGACATATACTATATCATGCTGTGCACAACATTTCATTTAAATATACAAATAAGAAACTGTATTAATGACCTACTTCAAGGCAGACACTTTTAGATGCAAATATAGCTCACGATTACACTGAGAACTTGGATAGCACACCAGGCAAAGAGAGCTGATTTGACAGGCCCCAAATAAAAATGACACTTGGAGATTCTTCCAAACAACAACAACAACAACAACTACTTCTTCTTCTTCTTCTTCTTCTTCTTCTTCTTCTTCTTCTTCTTCT